AATTAACTAAATCTAGACAAAAGTTAAAAATAACTAAATTAAAAACTAAAACCTAATTTACTTTAATTAAAATTAAATATTAATTTAAATTAAGCTAATGATTTAAAATTGAAAAACTAATTCAACTTTTTTATCTTTGTTTTTAAAATAATGAGAACATAATTATTTTTTTGTAAAAAAAACAACTTGGGCTAAGCCCAATTATCAAAAAAACAGAGAAAACAAAGTTTTTTTTTAAAAAAAAAACATTGGGCCGGTGGGGGATTAAGCCCACTCGGACCCGTTACCAACAAGCAATGCCATAAAATAAAATAAAAACAGAACAAAAAAACTCAAACTTTCCTTTTCACTCTCACTGTTTCTCTCTCGTTTCGGCTCCATTCAATCTCCCACTCTCCTTCGCACATCATCTTTCTCTTCGTTGTGACTTGATAACAACGAATCTCAGGTACTAATTTTGTCCTCGTCCGATTTCGTGAATTCTTTCTATTGTCGATTTCGAACATCACATTTTCGCCGTTGGTGCCTGTATTGTGTATGTGAATGGTTCTGTTTTTTTTCTTTTTTTCAAGCGCGCCTCTTTTTTGTAAGTACTGTGATGCAGCGGTTTTTTGCTCGACTTTCTTTCAACGATATTTGTAAAGGCAACCTTGTTTGTTCGATTGTGTACTTGTAATGATGTCCACTCCCTCTTGATTTTTTTCCGTCACCCCCTCTATGATGTGGATCATCTTTTATAAGCATCGGTGCATTAACTGTCATGATTTCAAAATGAATCCTTGTCTTGGAAACAAATTGGTATTATTCTGAACATGCTAGCATTTGTTTTGGAAATAAAATAGGAATGGTCTTAATTGTGTCCTGATTGTGTTTGATTGTTGTCTGAGATAAGTTCACAACATATTCAATTCTTTCCAAAACCTTCCGTCAATACTTGATTTTTTTTGGAAATCTAATCCTTCCATGCCTTTCTATCTTTAATTGATGCTGGTGAGGGTTTTCATGAACATGTGATTCTTGTACTTTCCACTTTCATTATGAACTTCTCTTGTACTGCATTGCCAACGTGTTCTAAAAACCCCTTTTCTTTTTCAGGAACATGAATCGAAAGCTGTTAGCTCATCTTATGCTACGCTGCCTCGAGAATGATGAGTAGGAATTGACCAAATGGGAACGAACTTGTCACAGATCATGTTACATGGATTGCGACTTCCTACTTGGTTAGGAACTTCTGTGCATCTCTTGAATGATATCTTGAAAGCTTTCCAGTCATCATGGAAATAATCTTATTAATTTTGTCTTTCAATCTTATACAGGTCGCATTGGTGTCCCGGTATGCATTATGTCGACCAACATGAAGAATGTGGTACTTGGTTTAACATTTTTTGTCAACGTGCTACTACTTTCCGCCCTTATGTAACAACACTGTCTTTGTTCTTATATGGAGCAGATTTTGTCCTTAGCATGGAGCAAATGGCAGAACTTTGGTATTGGTATAAAGCTTTTGAACTACTTAGGATTTTTCTTGTAAAAAGTAGTTATATCATTTGCTTACTCTTGCTCTTGTATGGAATTATGTATGGATTCTCATGACCTTGTGAATTAAAGTGTGGAAAGAAACGTCAAATTCTCATGCTTGAACTTTATATTTTGGAACTGGTTTGAACTTGTAGAGTTTGAAACAAATATAACTTTTCTTGAAATAGACATTTTATATAGTTTCAAATATGTAATTGGATATGAACTTTTGAAGTACATGTTAGCACATTTTAATTTACCATGAAGATGCCCTTGTGCCAATAACTCCTTTTGAAATTGTAACTTGAATAATTGAATGATTAATTTTGATTCGAACACTTGAATTAGTGAATATTCATTTCTTGAATCATGACCTCATTAGACTTTCAATTTTGATGATAAATTTCAAATAATTGGCCTTGAAATTTCAAACTCTTTTTTATTTATTTTGCATTATACCTTGAGCGAATCTTGGCTTGCATTGTCGGCATCTCTTCCAAATGATATCTTGAAATTGAGCTTTAGAATTGACTTTGTATGGAGGAAACTTTTTGAACTTATGAATTCAATCATGATTAACACTTTGCGCCTGAGCTAGTATTCATAATTTGAACCATGAACCTTGAAATTAATGAACTTTCATAAAAGAAAATGAGTCTTTATGTCTTACGCGCTTGAACTTGCTAAAACTTGATGACATTTTTGTCCAAACTTATCACTTTACATCATCAATGATGAAATTCAAACTTTTCTCTCAAAATCAAAAGAAACAAGAACTACGATCTAACTTTAAGAACAAAATCTTGCTCGACTTTTACTACTCGCACCATCAAAGCCTTATATGATGTCGAACTCAGTACACGAACCATGGGGATATAATTTGTAATACCTCTTGCCACGAAAGTCATAACCAACCTTCAGGTGACCATATTTAGCACCAATGGGAAGAAAACCCTAATTTTTCTTGAGGAAAACTATGAGAAACCTTGAGGAAAATGACCTTGTATTAACTAAGGGACCATAAGAATGAGGGCATATCCTTCCTTTGTCTCCGCAGGGATTCAACACAACTTGTAGGGGACTAAGAGCACACAAAGTCTTCATGGTGCTTGAATCTTCTTCAGCAGCCTATCTTCACAAATGAAAACAAATAACAAGTCTAATAAATGGTTAGTTATGCGTGGATGGTTGACCTAAGATAATGTGCAGAAGATCACATAATCTAAGGGTAAAATTTGGGGTATAACACTAAAGTTCTAGGTCCAAATGAAATCTATTCTCAACTCATTTCCTTTTATCTAGTTGAAGGAAATTGCAAGAATGACGTTCATACAATTCATATTATTCTCCAATTAGAAGATGATCCAAAAATCTATAAAGAAGCAATGGCTTCAAGGGACTCCTCTTTTTGGAAAGTTGTTAATCAAGACGAAATGGATTTGATTATTTCAAACCAAACTTGAGAGCTTGTCGACCTTCCAAAGGGGTCAAGGCCCATTGAATCTAAATTGTTGTTTCATCAAGGGTCACAACCTTGTGAAACAACATATACATGACCTATAAATACTTCATTCCGAAATTCATAAAATTACATCACAAACCGAATATCCCCTTGAACAAATTTCAAACTCTTTTTGCTACAATTCAGGTTTTCGTCGGTCTTACGCAAATGCGATTTAAGGCTGAATTATCCTGGGTATTCATACGTTCTAACTCTAAGACATATTTGAGAGTGTTTAAAATATTTTTAAGAAAAGTGACAACATTCACAATTTAGACATGGATCCATTCAACTTTAAGCGAGGAAAAATGTACTTATCCTTAATAATATAAATGTGAATCAATCCACTTTCAACTTAATTAACTATATTCTTACCAATTCTTCCATTATGTGAACTCAATTGGTAGTTTTGCAGTGACATCAAATACATAATTATGAATTTGAATCTGCGACATCTCACTTATTTTATTTTTAAAGATGACATTTTCGCCACTATAGTAAATTACAAAAAAATAAAATAATATTTCTACCAATTATTTATATGGTCCATCAAATGTATCTTCATTACAAATTTTTTATAATGGAGAAAAAATATAATTATTTAAGTGTAACTTTTACTATTTTCTAATAAAAATATGACAAATGTACTTAAATATCTTTTAAGAAATAATAAAATTGTATATAGGAGAAAATTAAAAAATTATCATATTTTCATTTGAAATTATGTTATCTTCTTTTATAATTTGAAAGAAAGGTTTAATGGGTTTTCTTCTTTTATAATATATAGTGATTTAAAATTTTCAATATAATATGAAGAAATATATGATCGTCATTAGTTAACCGTGTAACATTAATATATCTCACATATCATTTTTTTTCTCTGATAAGAAAAAGAGTATATACACTATTAAAAATTTTGCGTTTAGTGACCGAATTAGAGACAAAAAAAAATATAAAATCAGCCACTATAATATTTAGCGACCAATAAAACGACTATTAAATTTCGGACCGATTTTGTGACGGAATTAGTGACCGTTTTCATTTAATTAAAGAAATTAAAATAAAATCAAAAGTTTTACCACATTCAAAAATTGAACTAATGCCCATATTGTTTGAGAAGTTTGATCATGACCACTAAGCTATTTCATTTTAAATATATAATTCTTTTTAAAATAATGTATATTATTTTTTTTTTTAATTAATAAATTTGTATGAAAGAATTATTTATATAAATATATCTTTCATTTCTTAAAATGATAAAAAAAAACTTTCACTAAAAAATAAAAATTAAAAAGAATTAAAATATTTTAAAAAAGAGAAAAAATTGGAAAAAAAAATTAGTTGTGACGGAAATTTCAATCGTTTTTTATAAATTAATTTTTATACAAATATTTATTTGAGACTGAAAATTACAGTCACACAATTTTAATTATTAATTTAATAGCTAATTTTATTTAATAATCGATTTGGTAACGTTATAGCTAATTTTATTTAGTAATTGATTTGATAACGTTTAAAATTTTATTAACATAATATTCAATTGTGGTGGCTAATTTAATGGCTGTAGTGACAAATTTTCAATCACTAAAAACAATTTTTTTAATAATATATAATATTTTCTCTGTTGTAATTCACTTGATCATAAATACTTTTTATTCTAAATATGTGATTCAGTGTGGGACGGGAGATAATATCTAGAATTAAGGTTAATAAATAGATGGAGTTGCTGTCTCTTTCATTTGAGCACCGACCGACGTCATCCGAAAAAAACATGTCATGCGAGTGCGTCGAGGTTGCCGTCGCTCCGCCACCTGGCATAGCGTTCTCCTTTTTCTTCAGCAACCTTGACACGCTACCTTTTGTCCACTTCCACTCTTTTTCAATATTCTTTCTCTTATATTTTTCCGCATCTAACAAAAACAGAGAAGGTATTATCTTTTAAGATTTCTGATTTCATTGCAGTTGATTTTGTTGAGGAGTGATGGGTACAGACCATGGCGAAAACGGAGAAAGCCATGATTCTGAGAAGGTGGAAGTGAACATATACCCTTTGAATTCTTACTATTTTGGATCCAAGCATGCTATTCCTTCCAAAGATCACTCCCTTCATGACCATCTTCAAAGATTCAAATCCAAGTTCGTTTTCTTCTTCTTCTTTTACTATAATACTTTTATTGCAATTTTGTTGTATCAGTAAACTCATTTGTTTGTTTAATTCTGCATGTTTTAATAGCTATGCTGCACGTGGAATGCGAACTTGTGTGGAAGCTGTTCTAATGGTTAGTTTTTACCCAGTTATGTTACAAGTTGTTCTGAATTTATGTATCAGTAAACTCATTCTGAATTGATAATGTAAACTGTTTTGGTTTTAGGTTGAGTTGTTCAAACATCCGCATTTGTTGCTGTTGCAAATAAATAATTCCATCTTTAAACTTCCCGGTGGCCGTTTGAGGCCAGGTGAATCAGGTATGTGAGTAATCTTTCAAACATTGAGTTTGAAAGGTTTGCGAATTTTTTTACTAATGATTGGATTTATTGGTTTTTAGATACTGGTGGATTGAAGCGCAAGCTGGCAAGGAAGCTTTCTCTTGATGAAGATGAGGCACAATGGGAGGTATTAAACTCACCTTGTTAATTTAATGGTGTTTTACACTCTGCAGTACCGACATCTTTGAAAAAGAATCATATATTGATGTCGGTGTCAATGTGCCGTGTTATATAGGTTATAGATATAGATATAATATATTATATAGGAGTTTTAAATGACAAGCTTGAATAGAGCATATGAAATGAGGTAGTTTACTTGATTTAGGTAGGAGAGTGTCTTGGAATGTGGTGGCGGCATGATTTTGAAACATTGATGCACCCTTTCTTACCACCTAATGTCAAACATCCAAAGGTACATTTTGAAAAATACAGTTTTTTTGTCTGACTTCTGATGTAAGATGTCATAGTTTCATGATCTGGTTTCATGGTGTAGGAGTGTACAAAACTCTTCCTTGTAAAGCTTCCGGAAAGTCGAAGGTTCACCGTGCCAAAGAACATGAAGTTGCTTTCGGTTCCATTGTGCCAAATTCGTGAAAATCACAAGGTGTACGGGCCAATTATATCTGAAGTCCCGCAGCTACTCTCGAAGTTCTCTTTCAATATGATTGGAATTTAAACCTTAGCTGCAATTTGGTTGAAATCTTGTTAGGCATCCAGTTCAGTTGTATCTTCATTAGGATTCCAGATAAGGAAGGACTGGTAAATATCATAGGTTTTCTTACATCATTGATTATACTATAATGTTGAAAACAGAAATATCTATATATGTATATAGCTTGAATGGTTTTTTTTGCTTGAGATATACAAGTTGTTGGTTTATTACAAGTGGTTAGAGAAGATCTTGTATCAGATTTCTCTCCATATTTTATCAATATGAGTTTTGATTGGGTTTTTAGAGATCCTCACTTTCTCTATTTTCCTTCAACTTAGGCATTCTATAGTTATTAGCATTTTCATATTAAGTTCGTTGGACGCTATGCATGGATCAAACAACAATTTAGAAGAGTTTTAATGTACAAAATGTTGAAGTAAATAGTTGATGATACATTAGGTCAAGGGAAATAAGATAAATGAAAGAGACCACATGTCAACTATAAACTTTAAAGTATTTTATATATGAGTCATATAAATTATAAAGTGTTCAACGAAGAACTTTCATTCACATTTGTGTTTTATATCTGCTTTGTATTGCTACTATAAAGTTTTGTGCAGGTCTGGGTAGATGGAAGTTTCATACTTTCTCATTTGTTTTAATGTTTAGTTCAAATTTAGATGTAAAAAAATAAATCATTGAAGGCGTGGCGTTAGATGGAATCGATATCTTCTCTTAGACAAGTATATATATGAAGCTGCTAATCGAAATAAGATGGCTAACTGAAGAAAAGCTAAGGTATATATATTTTTCTTTGGTTGCTATGTATGTATTTTTTTCTTGCACCAGAGTATGTATTTTTATTACTAATCATTCACTCTTTTATTCTTTTTGAAGTTTATGTTATTTGTTTTTGCTTTTGAGTATGATCCTTTTAGAAAACATGATTATTAGCAGAGATAGGATAAATCCAATGAAGCTTTTTGATTATGGTTATGTTCATTTTTTATTTATGTGGTAAAATTGAGTTACTAATTTTAGGTTGTCATGTTGGTTTTAAATCTATTTCAGAGGACAAATTTAATAGCATGATATGGAGCACATCAATGGAACTAATGGTTAGTGATAAATTGGGCAACAGGAATTTCAATTGTTTCAAGTGATAATAAGCTTCTTATCATTAATCAGAACCAATAAAAGATCTGAGGTGTAGCAGGAATATTGAAAGCTCTACAAGATCATAAAAGATGATAGCACTTGAATGTGTAAAGGATATACTCAGCGCTGCAGAATTGATGGCAAAAGAATTAGTTGTGTGGATGAGACATAAAATATGATAACGCCGACTCTTTTCGATATGTTGGAGAATTAGAGAATTGAGGTAGAAAGCTATGAAAAGTACTTTAAGTCTAATATGAAGGTTATTTTCGACTGTGTAAGCTTTGGATTTAATGTAGGCGAGTTTTTGTTGCAAGGTAAAAAACATGACCTAGATGGGTAACATTTATGAGGAAGAGGTGGTTAGCGGAAGAAGTGTACTGGAAATGTTAAAGTTTAGAAGCATGGAAGAAATAGTTCTGGATGAGATTGTCAGAAAGTGTGTTGGGGAAGTTTTTATTAGAGAGCATTCAACATTGCAGAATTTTTTTTTTGGAGTAACACTTTTGTGAGAGACACATCACATGTTCACCCAAAATCTTAAGGTAATAGGTGTATGGATTCTCCCACTTATAAATGCTAAAGTCTCTACGTTTTTAGTCAATAAGAAACTATTATCTATACTATTCATATTTGTTATACTCAGCACTTCTCTTCAAGTGTGTGTCTATCCACGATGTTAGAAACTATTATCTATACTATTTACATTTGTTATACTCAACACTTCTCTTCAAGTGTGTGTCTATCCAGGATGCTCTCTCTTAAGCGAAAGCTCTTTTCATCCACATACATCTCTTCAAGTGTGTGTCTATCCACGATGCTCTCCATTAAGCATATCCACCATCTATGGGAGTACTCTTCAATGAGACACCTCATATCCACCATCTATGGGGAGTACTTTCGATACAAGTGAGTCAATAATTTACTTGAACCAAAGATTCATGATACTACTATTCAGAAAGTTTTCACTAGGGAGTATTGAATATTGCAGGACATACCTTTTTAGAGCAACACCTTTATGAGAGACACACCACATATTCATCTAAAACCTTAAGGTGATAGGTGCATGGGCTCTCCCACTTATAAATAGTCAAATCTTCACATTTCTAGTCAATATGAGACATTATCCATACTACTCACACTTGTTATACTCAACAGAAAGGACATTTACACTTAATTAGGTTGATAGTTAGACTTTAAAAGTCTTTGAAAATGGCTTAGAAATTGAGCTCGACATGGTAACATTTTTTATAAATGAATATGTTTCTGATTTGTGGCTTATTTAAACCCATGGTATCATCCATTGAGCTTGTGTAAAGCATGAAAGATACATTGCCAACGAAGCTCACACTTCAAAACAATCTAATACCAGAATTGAAATATCACTCTCAAGTTCATTATAAGTATTGAGATGTTGAATGACATTAATCTCCCACTTTATTGGCAAATTTTATGGACAAATCATTTGAATATGTTATGTTGATTAAAGTAGTAAGATCCCTCTGTCTAAAGTTTTTTAAATTTGGAATTCAATCTGCTTAGAGCATGATTATCAATTAATATTTGTCATTCCTACACAGTATTCAATGCTATGTTGTCAGAGTATAATGCGTATTTCTCACATGTTGTGGTTCTAGTAGGAAAAACGCTTTCAAGCCGGCGAAAGTTAACAAATTAATTATTGTCCTCTTTTTAATAATATTTAATTGCTATTACTATTAATTACCATTAGCAAACGTCGTCATATTTTAATTTTACTAGCCAGCGTTATTTTTCATTCAAAATCTAGCCAACGATAATATTTAATTACTACTTGATCTTACCTGATCAGAAAGAAATCAGTAGCCTGCCACGCGTCGTGAGTTGCTGCCTTCACCGGTATTGTGGAGGAGAAAAATGGGGTGTACCTACAAGATGCTCCTATGCTTAAATGAGTACCAGAACTAGAGAGAGAAAGTACAGAGAAAATGTGTAGTGAATGGAATATCTGACTCTAGTGAGAGAGAGTATTTATAATATGCCCCTAGCACAGGGCCAACGGTTACATTACATTGAGCCAGATTGCCAAACCCAACACAAGTAACTGTCAGGGCTTACGTGGCGTAGTGAAGACAAGCACGTGGTCTTCACCCTGGATCAACTGCTCCATAATCTTCGGAAGGTGGGCTGACCATCTCTTTCGAAAATGGATAGTTGCATGATGATGTGTCCCCGCGTGGGGGACACGTGGAGAACATGGGGGAAGCGTGTGAGCTTCCCCATCAAGAGAGTCTTCTGTCCGAATGGTGTGCCTTGTTGAGGCTTGTGTTCGACTGAGGAAATTGAGTCTTGTTGGGCCTCATCAGTATAGTACTGGGTTGGGTCTGCCCGGCTGAAGGGCAGGTTCCGGCCTAGTCCAGAATAGGAGCCCCCCGAGTCATTGGTCTTAGGTGGAGGAGGAATGCCTTAAAGGTAGGTCGAAATGTCGAGGACCTCTTCAAGAGAAGGTATTTGCCCGACGCGTAGAATTGGGAGTCGTGTACCATGTTGGGAGCGGAGGATGTTCGACGAGACAATATGTCAGGGAGGTGGAGAGTGTGAAGGATGTGCCCGCCCTCCTATCTCGAAGGAGAGACAGATGGATGTGAACCTTCTGGTGTTGCCATGTGTCAGGAAACCATTGTTTAGCTAGGGCGGCTAGGGGTAGGGGCGTTTGAGTGCCTAGGGACGCCTCGAGTCTCGTGCTAGGCTTATAAATAGGACCGAGTCTACTTCATTTCTCACTTTTTGCTTCTACCGTTCAAAACACTTCCTCTTCTTCTCGTTCAAGCTTCTCAACTTTCAGCACCGAGACGTCTGTCGCACGCCGTCGTATCGTCCTCCCAAAACCATTGCACCAAGTAAGTCTCTGCTGCCACGCCTTCGCTTTTCCTGTTTTCTGGCGGTTTCTCCGGTGGACCTGATGAATGTCCCAGGAGACTGTGGAGTTTTCGGCGAATACGCCAGGGCTTCTTTGAGTTAGTGTAGGGCTAGAATGAATCCCCAGGGGACAAGCGATGAAGTCTCCGGGTACGTAGGATAGTTTTGGATGAATCCCTCGGGGACAAACGATGAAGTCCTCGGGGACGTAGGATAGTTTTGGATGAATCTCCCGGGGACAAACCATGAAGTCCCTGGGGACATAAGATAGTTTTGGATGAACCCCCTGGAGACAGACGATGAAGTCCCCGAGGACATAGGATAGTTTGCCCGAGCTTTCCGGGGACGGGCAGTGAAGTCCCAGGGGATGTTGGATAGCTTCGCATGAACTTCCCGGGGACAAGTGCTTGAAGTCTCAGGGGTTCACTCTCGTCTGCCGAGGCGGGAGAGGCCCTGTCCGTAAAGGGTCTCCCCTCTTCGCCCTTTCACTTGATTTGCGGTAGAATGGTAGATTTGATGTTGAATGTCGAATTCTCCGATTTCTTCTGCTTTTCTAGTGTAAATGGCTGCTTGGGTCCAGAAAATTATTGAAACTGACGACGAGCCAGACTCCCTGATGGCGAAGGCCGGTGAAGAGCGCAGAAGGTCTTTCGCGGACTGGGCCGGGGAGGAGCCCTTGAGCATCTCCTCTCGCTTCGTTATGGATGAGTCCAACGCTTATGTCAATGTCGAGGACCGCCTTGAGGGTTTCTGTAACACCCTTGTATCAGATTTCTCTCCATATTTTATCAATATGAGTTTTGATTGGGTCTTTAGAGATCCTCACTTTCTCTATTTTCCTTCAACTTAGACATTCTATAGTTATTAGCATTTTTATATTAAGTTCGTTGGACGCTATGCATGGATCAAACAACAATTTAGAAGAGTTTTACTGTACAAAATGTTGAAGTAAATAGTTGATGAGACAT